ATCTAAAAATCAGCTACGTCTTCAATATCAGTTTCATGAATGATCATCAAACATTATTATGAATCTGTTCAACATTATTATCACATCAATTACCGCAAATTAAATTCTGCCTAGAATATTTCTCCCTGATACCTTTAATATTGCTTTTTATGATTTAACATCCATGTGAACACGAAGCCTATTAATCTTGAGCTCTTTCCTATTCGCTTTAATCTTTCGTGTAGCGTTTGTGTTTTAAAAAAATTATAAAATACCAAAAAATATTTATTTATAAATCCAAAAAATATCTTACCTCTCCCTAGCTCGGTCGCGTTAGAATCGGGGCCGAAAGCTCCCCGTATCGGGATTATTGATTTTTGTTTAATTCATCATGACATTTAATTAGCAGTGACGTTGACTGACATTATCAATTTGTGGATATTTTTGTGTAGTTTTTGCTTTGTATTAAACATTTGGAGTTTTTATTTATTTGCTTTTATATACTATTTTATTGTTTCAGTTTAAGGGGACTCATACACCTTAAAATCCATAAGATGTTCGAATAGGTGACTGTTGCAAGAATTGGGATAACTTATTTATTTTAAAAGCAATTACTACCAACTTTTTACAGCTGACTACATAATATAGCTGCTTTCTGAAATAGTAATCAGAAAGTTTGTGTTGCCATACATATTTTTATAATTTAATCCTGCTTTGTGGGACAACAGTTTTCGTCATGTTTCCAACTTGCGCGCACAGTTTAAAAGCATTCTAGTTTCATAATTTAATTCCATAATTAATATATAGATTTTATAACACTTGGAAACTACTGTGAACCTAAAATTCTAAAAATTTCATGTTAAATTTTTATTTTATTTTGAGTTCAGTTTATAAAATGTATTTTATTAACAAAATTTTTAATGTTTTCGTCCATAAAATTTTTCAGTATTAAAATATTCATCAGATTGTTGGTTCAGTTAGAAAGTAGTGCCCATATAAAGAATTCCATCCAATTTCAAGTATGTACCATCAGCCATTTTTAAAATAGCATGCGCGCAAGGTGGAAACATGGCGAAATATTTTGTCACAAAGAGGATTAAATTACAAAAAATATTTGTGGCAACACAAACTTTCTGGTTACTATTTTCCAAAGCAGCTATATTATGTAGTCAGCTGTAAGAAGTTGGAAGTAATTGCTTTTAAAATAAATAAAATATCCCAATTCTTGCAACAGTCACGTATTCGAAGATCATAAGGGGTTTAAGGTGTATGAGTCCCCTTTTAAGACGTCTGTTGAAACAGGGTGTATCATAAACATTGCATGGTTAAATAAACTGCTGAATTATTTGAATTGGGCCATTAAAATCGTCAGATCAGGAAGGCAAGCAAGTAGCTACAACTTATTTATTGCATTTTTATAATATAATGAGGGAAAGATATGATTAAATTTTCAAATAGTTTGGTGTTCAAGGCATACAGTTCAGGACACAGAACTGGCCCCTTTGTTTTTCCAGTGATGCTTCACGCTTTTGAGGCGTTTCATGTTATATTATGCAAGAAATACTGCAATTTATGTATAATTTCACTAAAATTATATATATATATATATATAACATAAAATTCGTAAAAATATCTTGCAATATAGTTAAGGCGTTTGGTGTCACGACTTCTTGCAGTGATGCAAATGGCTTCGTAATAGCACCTGGAATTTGTGTATCGGAATCTTAATATCCTTCAACTCTTTCATTTCTCTGTTTGCATTTGCTATTTATTAATAAGAATAGCAAAATAAATGTCCACTTCTTTATTTGTTATAAATGATGGTGATGTTTGATGATTAATTATTAATACCTAAAAGATGTGCTGTTAGTTTCGTTTTGCCCTTAAAATTAGAATTGAACTCGATATAACTTAACCCCCGAAATGATGAAAGGACTCTAATCAGATAATAAGAAATTGTGTAGATGTCAATATTTTCCATATTTTTTCTAGAATTTCTGCTGGTTTTTGCGAAAAATTGTTTTAATCCTTTTGTGGATGTTAGAATCCACATTTCACATTCTGTGCGTGAGAAAACACCTTTACATTGCTTTTTTTGTATGTTCAATTCAACATTTCTCAGTGTTCTAAACAAAGACTATGAAAGAAGAGGTGTGACACCCAGTCTAGGAGAAGATGGACCCGATAAGCATATTTTGGGACACCATGTGTCTTTCTTTGTATACTTGACTATTAAAACCAAAGACGTAAGTGGGTTCTTTCACTCTATTCATATGCTATGAAGGAGTTCTCAGACTCGAGGCTGATAGCATGATAGAAATTTTGAATTTTTGGTTAATCTTGCAAAGAGGAAGTAGTGCATCTTAGAAGTCTGAGTTATATAGTAGATACGTTTTTTACAGAATAGAAACTTTTTATCCTTAACTGTTTTTTTAGCCTCAAAGGACCATCAGTCTCGAAACATGATTTTACGTTGTCTCACTTTAATGCATTGTTTCCCTCTTCATTCGAGTCTACTGCGATTCGGAAAATCATTGACATCCATGTGAACATCTGTCTGTTATTAATTAACAAACTAAACTGTTTAAAAGCTATAGATACAGTTCTTCTTCTTCTTATTATTATTATTTTACTTTTTAATTGAATTGATTTAAATGAAAATGCATTTAATTCATGATATATTATACATTTTATACATTATCAGAATTATACATTTTTCCATTTTTTTTAAATATAAGTTCCTTATGTTAGTCTAAATACGTATTCATCTAATATCCTATAACGTGTTTCGCTGTTCGACCTGGGCCATCTCTATCCGATAATCGCCACCGATAAACAACATTAAACATTAAAAGAGCCTTTTGGGGCGACCGTTAAAATCTAAACCATTTCCCTTTTTTTAAAGTTTATTTTTTGCTTATAGCAAAGTTCTGCCTTCCAAATGGGGGTTTTGTGTTCCTTAGGAGTTTTGAAAGACAAGGATATTCCATTCAAAAGTTACTGAATCTTTTCCTTGTAACCATACATATCTTAAGTAGAAGTTAATTGTAAATTCGTCAACATCCTTTATAATTATTTTCATTAAAATATAAGAAAATTTTTTATAATTTTTGTGAAAACAATCTACTTTTCTTGTCGAATCGCATATAGCGAACTAAATTTACGGTACCTTGAAACTCGTTATAGTGAGTTTCAGCTGCATGTGAAAAGGGCAAAATAGGAAGTATTACTAATCTATAATATAAGATTTTTCATTTGTTTGAGAAATAATTATAATTGACTCATTTTACGCAGTGTGGATTGTATATGAACGTCAGAGATGCTGTTTAAGAATGTAAAAATGTAATTTAAAATACGAAAGTCATTTTTTAAGTAATTTCCGTCAGTAAATACCATTTGAAATTCTACTCGTGCTTCTGAATTACTGAGCGCGCAGGCTCCCAACATTCTTTGCTAAGAACACGACACCGCTTGCGTGTGTTGTTGTCTTGTGACTTATATCACTTGTCTGACCGTAACATCAGAACAAGCCCACAAAATTTGTCGTGGTAAGGAGAGCAAGACTGCGCCTGACGTGTGCAAGAGCCATGAGCACCATACAGGTGACAATACGACTTCTCTCAGTGGGTGCGGAACTGAGGGTCTCCCACTCCTCTTCTCCTACCAGCAACCTCTCGAAAGGACTTGAGGCTCGCCATAAATTTAGAGTGCCCACATGCCGCAAAGACACTATATACTCGTATTTAGAAATATCTATGCCTTCTCCGGGATTCAAACCCGGGCCCTTAAGTACCGCAGTAGCTCCTCTAACCACTGAATCGTCTGGGCGGCGCCACTTGCGTTCGTGCCGTCGGTCTGTTATCTTTGTGTAGGTAAAATGTTCAAAAAAATCGATCGCTCGGCAGACAGCGAAAAATGACCAGTCTTCCGGTCTTAAACGCAAAAAATATAAAAGCTGTGAATATTCATCTCGAGATGTATGAAGGGCCTGATGACGATGCAATTTCGTGACAAATTAAGTACAAAAAGGAATTCCACTGTTGTTATTGTTACTGTTACCGTAGCTGATGTTACTGAACCGATGTAAGAAGGAATTAGTAAGTCTAGGGAAAATAGTTTCTCAGTTGATTAAACACTGCACATTGTTTTTGTGTCGAAATTATTCATTCATAATGATATTATTAATTATATGTGTCACTTTTCCCATGACTGAATTTTACCGGCATTTTTAAATGAGCGGTGTTGAGTTGGATTAATGTTGTTTGTAGTTAGGTACTGACGAACTCCCTTTAATACTACAGCATTTATTATGTAAACAGCATTTCATCTGGCCGCTTATGGCCAGTCGCCTAAAATAGTTATAAAGTGAGAAAAGTATATAATAATTTTCATAAATCCACCTAATGTAATTTAAACAAAATGATATTTCTAATTAGACATCTCCCAATTTAAATGCATGTTTATTTAAATCAAGCAGATTAAGAAATAGAAGAAATATTCTTACGAATGGCGTTTGTTGCTTTTGAATCGCTTGGTTTGTACTTAATGATAGTCCCTTGAGCCCCTTGATGCGTGGAAGACAAAAGTATTCTATTTCGGGCAATGACAGCACGCTGCTCTTAAATAGCGAGTTTATGAATTAAAATTGAAACAGAAATAGCGTACGTTTTGCCGAATAGCAACAACCTGGATGGCGAGATAAAAATGCTTTGTTTCGACAAGTGTTGCCACTGCTCGCTTTCAGATCGCTGAGTTTGTTAATCAGAAATTCATTCGATTTGCACAGAATATAAAATAAATAAAACAAGAATTCGAAGCTCAAAATTCGAGCTTCGATGTGCTCGAATGTTCGGGTGGAGGACAACGTGTAATTCAAAATTAGGGGGCTCCATGCATAGTCATTTTCCCACAATGCGAGGAAAATATAAACATACATACAAACAGATTCTTCTTTATTTAATAATAGACATGATATCCGTAGAGTCCTAATATAATAAATAAAATACTTTTCTCGTTTCCAGATGCACTTCTGCGTCGTCATTCGGTCGACCCCGAGAAGAGGCGGAAACCCTTCAACACGTACAGGTCTCTGGAGTCTCACCAGGGAGAGACGTACACATGCCACGGGGACGACGAAACGGTAAGTGGATAACCCTGTTGTGTATATCATATGAGTATAGTTCGTTTGTAGACAACGCCCTGGTACAACCGATGGCGTATGGTATAATATGCGAGACTGAACTTAAGTAGCGTAAAATCTTGGGGCAGATGGACCGTCAGTTTTAACATTGCTTGGAAATTATCGTTTGAGTGTTCCACGTCATTATATTAAAAGTAGGATTTAAATATTTACTTGCTACTAGTCATAAGTAACTAAAGATATTTAACTTCGGTGTCTTGAATAGTAAATGGTGACATAAAAATAAAGTATAAATAAATATTGTTATGTTTAAAGTGGTATGTATTAAAATGATTATAACATTTTTTAAAATACCAAAACACGTGATTAATTTTACCTCGAATGAGATGGGTGAACATGATAGGATGATATGAGATTAGTTATCGCTGTACATTTCAGAGTAACATTCTTGAGTATCATGAGCAGTATTTTATAGTCTCTTTTTTTTTTTTTCCTTTTCCCTGGGATGAATTTCATGACTGCACTAAATCTATGTGCATAGGAAATTACGGGAAGCATATTTCGTAAGTGCACATCTGTATCGCCACCTAGGGAGTGGCTTCTGGAATGGACCAATGGGCTGAAAGTAACATTTCTGTCATTTCGCATGGCCTTTACCGCGCTTTAAGCAAGATAGTTGAAAACGTTTTGCCACGCAATTTCCTGTAGAAAGTAATTAATGCATCGTAGATTTCTTTTGAAAATTTTTAGTGTGACATTGAATCAAATATAAGTATAGTTATATATGTAAATGGTAGAAGTCTTAGCATTTTTTATTGCAGGCTCTATGAAAAAGAAGTTCTGTAATAATAGTCAATGTATAAGGTATTTCTCCCTCCTTCTTAGCGTGCCTTCGTGGTGTAGTGGTTCTGCACGCTGGGCCGGTATTCCAGAAGTCCGTGGTTCGATTCCCGGCGAAGGCGTTGCTAATTTTTTATTCTACCTGCTTTAAAAAAAAAAAAAAAAAAAAACCTAATGTCTCTACAGTGGCGCCCGAACTAAAAGGATGTTGGATGAGGATTCTCCACACCCAGGATTTGGCGATTGGGTCCCCTAAAAACCTCGGTCGCCCTTTAAAAGGGGGAGTATATAAGGTTTTTCTCCCGCGTTCTTAGCGTGCCTTCGTGGTGTAGTGGTTCTGCATTCTGGTATTCCAGAGGTCCGTGGTATAATGTTAATAGGTTTAATCAGATCATTCACAATATATATTTTGAATCTGCTGGCACAACTTTTGTCTTTTTAATTTTATTATTAAGCATCACTTTCTTTGCACTTACGCCACATGAAATTCAAAAGTAAAATCACAAAATTTGTGTAAACGCAGCATATTTTTAAAATTACCGATGCAGTGTTAAATGTTTGCCATACATTTTCCAGTTCGGAAGGGATGTTTATCCTTGAACCTTTACGTCTAATCACCTTTGTTGTCCACTTTACTTTTCGAATAACTAGTTACTGGCTCAGCCAGCCGTCTAAAATACTGACTATAAAAAAGAAATATATATAATGCTTTTAATAAGTGTCTAGCTAGTATCATTGTATGGGTCCAGCTGGTAATTCATAAAAGAGATAAAGAACTGCGTTTCTTGCTTTTAAATCGATTAGTTTGTTTATCAAAAACAGGTAGATTAAATTTAAAAGAAAAATTAGATTGACAAATGACAACAACCTGACGCGTAGTTAGATAGTAGAAGTTAAAAATATTTTTAATATCGTTTTATTAGAATATAGACTGTTTTGAAGTTCCAGGAAATAGCACCCTCTATTTCGTTGCAGGTAACAAGAGTCGGGAAAAATATTTTATATTTGTTTTTATTTATCTTTTTATATTGGTTCTTTTTATCTATTATTCCCGAATAGAATTTTAAATGTTGCTATATACACTGCTCGACATTGAAAATGCAACACCAAGGAGTGGTCAGAAATTTATGCAAATTTTAGAGTAGACGCACGTCACTGAGTTATTCGAATGATGTGAAATACGCAGCTCTCCGACGAACGTGAAGTAAGATATAAGGGAAGGAACGTGCAGAATGGGCAATATTCGTGTCGTTATTTCTGCCGGACGAATTATCGAAGAAAGTTGGTTTTTGTCTCGGAGGATACGTGTAACAGAAGAGAATGCCAGGCCGCCGTCAATGAAGGCACTTCCAGCAGATAGACGATTTTACGAGGGGTATGGTGATCGGACTGAGAAGGGCGGGTTGGTCTTTACGTCAAATTGCAGCTGATACCCACATGGATGCGAGCACGGTACATCGGTATGACGAACATGGTTGGAACAAGGAAATGTGGGAAGAAGGAGGGGTGCATGTGCATCCAGAATGACGTCAGCACGCGTGGATTGACGCATCCGCCGACAAGCTGTGGCGGTCCAGCAAGTCACTTGTACCGCGATTCTGCAGCATGTGCAAGATACCCTGGATGTTCCCTTGTCGACCAGAACCATTTCTCGTCGATTGGTTGAACGTGGCCTGCACTCACGGCGTCCGAAGAAGACTGCCATTAACGTCACAGCATAGACGCCAATGTTTATAATGGTGCCGGACTGGAGCGATGTGGATGACAGAATGGCGAAACGTCGTGTTCTCAGATGAGTCACGCTTCTGTTTATCCTGTGACAGTCGCCGCATACGTGTGTGGCGTCGACGGGAGACAGATCTAATCCGGCATTAACTGTGGAACGCCCCACCGCGCGACAACGTGGCATTAATGGTTTGGGGCACTATTGCCTACGATATATATATATATATATATATTATATATATATATATATATATTTAAGCTATGCCTTTACATATTCTCACGTTGGTTTGATTGTACTGTACTCTTCTATCGATAGTATGCTTTTCTTATTAAGTTGATTGTCTATAAGACAATCATTATCTTAATCATTGTATCATGCTTACAAGTATCTTCATTCAGTATAGTATTATTAGTAAATTATGTTGGTATATGTTGTATTGTAATGTATAGTGAGCCTTTGTAATATAACAGAAATTGTAAATGTTTATTTGATGGCATCATGTTAATCTAATTACATTGAAATCTGTCTCATGTTGTAAGAATCTATCTACTTTTTATTTAGTACACAATTTCAATATCATTGTTTTCTTGTCTCATGTTAGCTAGTTTCATTCTTAAGTCAGCAAGTGTATAGCATTATCAGTAAAATAATTCTAGTCGATCTGCAAATATCGCATTCAGTCAGTAATATAATATAGTTCTGTCGGTACTATAGTTATTGTTGACAATATGGATAGTTTCAGTCAGCAAGTATAGCTTTTTCCGCAAATTCTTCTTTATTTTGTATGCAACTTTCTGTCTTTGTATATGTTTTTGTTTAACTATTGCATATTTGAGCCTAGTATTTTTACAGATGACTTGTTTGTTTGTTCCGTACTCTCTTACTGTTCATATGCATTTTTTTTTTTAACCTTCCAAACTGTGTATCATTGCAAATTATGTATTCATTACAATTATGTGTCATTGCAAATTTTGTATTCATTTCAAATTATGTATCTGTTTGCTAATATCAATAAACGACTGGGATCACGTCGGCGCTAAACCAATTAACCAAATGGTAAAGGCGTGGTGCCCGTCTTCCCCGTTCCTAAATCCTAAATCCTAAATCCTACTGAGCCGACGCCGTTCTCGCTCTGTATTCTTACTATCATTTTGAAATAAGATCACTTATTGCTGCTTGCTGTCTCTGTCTTTTCTCCAAATTTCATCACTTTCTGACCACTCCTTCTTGGTGTTGCATTTTCAATGTCGAGCAGTGTATATTTTCTTTTATATTCGCTATATTTTTTCTTTAAAAAATGCATGGCGATAACATTTTGAGGCATCATTCTTTTATTTAAGTTGCCATATATTTTTTATACTAGCTGTATTATTTCTTTAAAAATAATGCATGGTGATAACATTCGGTAGCAACATCATTTTATTCATGTAGTCACTATGTTATTCGATGGAAGTTAGACTAGATGGAGTAAGCCTTCTCCGTGTGTCCCGTGCAATGAAAACGGAGGCATGAAACGTCACGGTATGACGTCACCACTTATCATGGCCGCAGCCATAAGCAGACTTCTGGTTGGTTTTCTTTGCATTCTTTCTAATCGGCATTGTTTACATGTTAGCTGTTCAACATTGAACGTTTATAAGTTTGCCTTTCTAATTTTGATACTCAACTTAAAAGATTTTCTACTTTCAAGTAGTGTATAGAAAACTCACAAGGACTGTAACTTTTTCAAATTTAATAAAAATCTAGGTACATGAAAATGTATGAATGGTAACTATAACACAGATGTATACAGGGTAAAATCTGAAAGATCAGTGGAAGTTTCAATGTTAATTTTATGCAGATGATGTAGATCAATGTTATTTTTATGCCTAAGAACACTTTCTGAACTTGCGGATATTGATATTTGCTTTGAAATTCAGTGTAATTTTATTTAACAATATGTTTCGTAGGCTGTATGGTGGGCCATGATAAGTCTTGACGTCACGTTAATCACATTTCCATGGCTTCTTGGCTTCAATTTTGTGACATCATGCATACTACATCTCCCGTATGATGGTATTATTTTTTGAAATACTTGGCGATAACATTTCATGGCAACACTTGAAAGAGATATGGACAAAAAATTAGCGTTTTGAAATCAGTTTAAAAAAATTGAGTTGAATTGTTGATATTAATGATTTTTTCTGCTCTTGACGTTAAAAAAAAAAAAAAAAAAACTCGAAGAAGTGAAAATTTTAGAATTATTTTATAAAGTTACCCTGAAGCAGAACCTAAAATAACTTAATGTGGAATTCTTGCCAATACAGAGAGAAAAAATAAATAAACCTGGGAGAGGCAGAGGTAAAGTGAAATTTTAACGAACGGAAAATTGCTCAAAAAAAGTGAGGAAAGTCATTTCTAGCAGATGTTGCGAATAAAGAAATCAAGCTTATTTTAAAAAAATATA